CCTCGGGCCGGACGCTCGGTCGCGGAAGTCGAGGCGTTTAGGGTTTAGGGTTTAGGGTTTAGGGTTTAGGGTTTAGGGTTTAGGGTTTAGGGTTTAGGGTTTAGGGTTTAGGGTTTAGGGTTTAGGGGTGGTGGTCGGTGCGTCACCCGGCGGGCTCGGTGATGGCGTACTGGGCGTGCTGCCTTTCATAGAGATCTCGATTTCCAAGTCTGCACCTTCCGCCGGGACCCCCAGGGCCAGAAGGTTACGGCTGAAGACGGTGTTCACCCGCTGGGTCCTAGTCGTCATCCATCCAAGGGCATCCCTGGCTTCAGTTTCGTTTGCATCCTCTGATAGCAGGAAGATTGTATACCTGGGTTGTCGTTTTGGGGCCCTGAAAAGTATTTAGGAAGAGGTACCTCTATAGAAACCAGAAGGGAAATTTCAAAGTTTCCCAAATTGCCACCTAGATACTCGTACTCCTTTTTCGCCAGCCGCCTGGCCAAACGTAGTTGGCCGCTTGGAGGTGCACGTTGGGCGATCAGCACGTGCTCCGGCAAGACCCCATTCCCCGTCAGACTGGCCAAGGTCGTCTGAAGGGCCTGCCCTAAACCCTAAACCCAAAACCCTAAACCCTAAACCCTAAACCCTAAACCCTAAACCCTAAGAACCGAAGGGCCTGCATGATGTGGGCCCGAGATTCCACGAAGGCATCCGCATCGTCGAGGTGGACGTCAGCTATCCCGTCAAAATTGGGGTACGTGTCAGGGCAGTAGTACCGGCCGCCCGTGAAAACGCATTCAGCGATGGTCCCACAATTCCGGCCCGCAGGCCTTGGACAGGAGGTGTCCACATTGGAAGAGTCACAGCCGCAAGTAGTTGGGCAGAAGGCTTCCACGGTCTTTAATCCCCAATCGAATCTCCAAGAAAAGCAGGAGCCCCATGTCACGTTCATCTCCGTGAGGTTCTCACCGAAAGCACAGCCATGATCCCACATCGCCTGAGCTGTGAACAGGGCTTCCTCCTTTCCCTCCGTCACGGTGTCTTCCCCGATGGCCCGGACGGACTCCACCCACCTCAACCATCTCCCGTCCCTGCGCAGCTCTGCCGCCGACTTCTCCTCGCACGTGTATAAACCCTAACCCCTAAACCCTAAACCCTGAACCCTAAACCCTAAACCCTAAACCCTAACTTCTCCTCGCACGTGGAATCGCGGAGGCCCTGTAAGAAGCTGCTGGAAGACCAACAGGACCGGCCCAGACCATAGGGGCAGCCTGCGATCTGCATCACCTTCCCAGAGAGCCCAATACCCCCTTAATTAAGGAATATACCTTAAATTATAGGGACCTTAATTTTATGGTTTAAGGTATAATCCCATCACCTCTCCGGTGGGATCGTTGCAGCCGCAGGTGTCCGAGCAGAGCATCCGCGCCGCGAAGCCCTTGCCCTTACTCCCATCCATCAGCCCGCAGTAGGGCCGAGCGTCACCGCAGCCCATCAAGCTCCCGTTGCCCAGAAATTCACGCAGGTAGTTCCTCAAAGGCTCTGTGTCCCCCAAGTCGGCACACCTTGGGTTGAAGACATCCACGGACTGCTCCAAGGGTAAAATCGAGGTCTCCGTCAGCACATCCACGCTGCCGAGCCAAACGCCCCAGGCCGTTCCGGAGCTCTCATCACTGAGGCTCAGCATTTCGGCTTCATCGATGGCTTTGGACTGCAGCTGGTAGCCCCCATCTTCCCAGCCGTCTCTCTCTGTCGGGCTGAAGAGGATCACCTTTCGCTGGTCCGTGTTCCACACGAACTGCAAATTCCCTCCGCACATGGCATCTTTCGCACTGTCAAGGGTCGCCACCATTGGGGCCAGCATGCTAGTGTAGACGAACATCATGGCCACAGGGATCAGCACCAACATAGACATGGACTTCACGTCCGCACCGCGGACACGGGGCCAGGACTTCATGGGCAAGGGGTCCATCTGGTTCACCAGGTGCCGTCCTGGAGTTGTGGCCAAAGCCTCGGGACTGGTGTGAACTGCGGAAGTACCAGACAAACGTCACTGATATGAAAGCAGTCTCAGAAGCATCGAAGAGCAGATCGTCGATGTCGAGGATGATGGCCAAAGCCACCGCCTGAGCGCGCTTCGATCTGGAATTGGCGTGGCTTCCTCTAGCCCGTCGCTTGGCCAAAATGCTGGGGCCACGGCATTCAGGATCAGCTCGGTCACGTCGATAGTGTAGACCAAGAAGAAGGTCCTGCGAATACGAGTTCAGTTTGGAAGTTCCCCGGCGACCTTGCCCTAAAACGTGACTGAGCAACCGCTTCGCGGAACCCTAAACCAGAATTCGCAGGCAGAAGGGCCCCTTTTTTCGGGGTCCCCACGTAGATGAGGGCCGCCGCGGCCAGCAGCCGATACACCAAGAGGACGGCGCTGGCGACCTTCCGCCACCCGGAGACCGAGATCAACCTGTGGCCAGAAATGGTTCAGGGCTTTTTTGGGGTAAGAGCTTAGTGTTTAGGGTTTAGGGTTTAGGGTTTAGGGTTTAGGGTTTAGGGTTTAGGGTTCTTGACTCTACCCAACACATTCCGGGACCCCCCCTTCTATAGCTTGAGTCGAAAGCGCCCTCTACCTCCCGGCTCTTCCAGCCTGTAATGCATGACCAGGGTGAACGGGTTCTCCCGGCTGTTGATGCGGGTCTGGCCAAGAGGGGTGGCCATGATGCCGCGATGCAACGCCAAGCCATGGCCCACCTCCTCCGGAAGCTGGGGCAACTCTTTTCCACAAGACAGCAGACCTGACACCTAGAGACCCGGTAGCCTATACCTAAACCCTAAAGAACCTACCTTTCTAGGGCTCCTTCTTATGATTTCTTTATATGAGTCCTTCAAAAGGTAGGTTTTGGGGGGTTAAGGTAGGGTTTAGTTCTTCGCATTCTTTCCAACCACCTGCCACCACAAAGCCAGAAGGTAGCCTGCAATTTTCCTTTCTGGGTGGAAACCCTTTACAAGGAAGTCTGTTCTCAACGGCGCACTCTTTGACAACATCTGACAACAACGTGGTAGCAGCCGGATTACAGGCCCGATTTACAGGCACCTGAAACCACCATTGCAAAACACCAAACCTGTATAAAGCCTGCGTTTTTTTGATATTGGTCACACTCCGGATGGCTTGCCCGAGACGAACCTCAAAAAGCTATTGAAACCCTAATTTCATCCCCATCAAGAGTTGTACTCAGCGTTCATAATGTCACAATCCCCATGAGGCGCGCGGCTCCTTCTTGCTAGCTTCCGTCCCCGAACGACATTCCTCCATGAACAATGTAACGAGAGGAAAATGAGCTCAAACCCTAAACCCTGAACCCTGTAAACCCTAAAACCCCCAAGCTCTACACCAAAACCCAAGACCGGGAGAGCCCAATACCCCTAAATTAAGGAATATACCCTAAATCATCATATCAAGGACCCTATAACTTAAGCTATATTCCTGAATTAAGGGGTCTTGGGCTCTCTGGGGAAACCTTTGGGATTCCGTTCCTTGGCCACCATGAGGTACCAGCAGAGCAAGGCAACCAGACAGAGACGCTCCCCAGTGAAGAAGGACTCCACGCCTTTTAGGGTTTAGGTCTTAGGGTTGAATCCTGTAAAGGTTCTGCTTTAAGGGTTTAGGTCTCAGCGTTTAGGGCTTAGGGTTTAGGTCTTAGGGTTTAGGGTTTAGGGTTTAGGGTTTAGGTCTTAGGGTTAATCCTGTAAGGGAGCCGTTAAGGGTTCTCCTTTAAGGGTTTAGGTCTTACGGTTTAGGGCTTAGGGCTTAGGGTTTAGGGTTTTGGCTTTCGGTCTATAGGGTTGAATCCTGTAAGGGAGCCGTAAGGGTGCTCCTTTAAGGGTTTAGGTCTTAGGGTTTAGGGCTTCGGGCTTAGGGTTTAGTGTTTAGGGTTTTGGCTTTAGGTCTATAGGGTTGAATCCTGTAAGGGAGCCGTTAAATTAAGGGCTCCCTCCTTTAAGGGATCCCGACAACTCCCTTAAGCGGATCCCCTTGGGGCTCCTGTAAGGTATCCCCTGAAGGGTTGCTTTAAGGCTTCTCTTAGAAGGGATCCTGTTGTATAGAACCCTAAACCCCAAAACCCTCAACCGTCAACCCTAAACCCTCAACTCTACACCCTCAACCCTAAACCCTCAACCCTAAACCACTTCAACCCTGAGCCCTGAACCCTAAACCACCCAAACCCTAAATTTAAACCGGATCCCTAAAAAAGGAGCCCCCCCCCCCGCCAGAAAACTTTCTTCGACTGGCCACCTTCGGCCCTGGGCTTGAGGTAGCGGATGATGTTCTCGTACAAAGCCATCTGAGGAAGTTCAGAGAAAGGGTTGATGATACGGCTGATGGACAAAATCCCTGCATGACCTTACATAGCTAAACTATGGGATTTATGGTACTATACTATATTTGGGTCATGCAGAATTTTGTCCATCAACCGTGTCAATCCTGCCTCGGGTTTGGGGTTTAGGGTCTAAGGCTTAGATCCAGCCTGACCCATAATAAGATAGTTTAGGGTCCTTAAGGGCAGGCAGGATTTATATCATCAACCGCAGTTAGGGGTCTGGGTTTAGGGCTTTAGGGTTTGGGGCTTAGGGGTTTAAGGTTTAGGGGTTTAGGTTTTAGGGTCATGCGGTAGGCTGGTTTAAGATTTTCTATCGCTTAAAGGATAGGGTGTTGAAGCTTGATTTTTCGCTTGTTGGGACTGGAGCCGTGGAGGGGTTTGTGGGTTTAAGGTCTGGGGTTTAGGATTTCCGGGTTGAGAACCCTAAACCCTAAATCCTAAACCCTAAACCCTAAACCCTAAACTGAGGCTTCATTGTTTAGGATGCAGGGACTTTTGATCTTCGGGTTTGTCGGGACTTGGAGCAGTTTAGGGTCGGGTTGGAGGCCTTGGAGTGTAGAATGAGAGATCTTTGATGAGAGCATGGTTTAGGGTTTAGGGTTTAGGGTTTAGGGTTTAGCCACAAACCCGGCACCTGGATGCCGGATGTCGGCAGGGACTTGTCCAGAGCACAGACCCTCTCGGCGAGCGACGACTTCGAAAGCGGATCATACCTGGGCTGATCTGCTCACGTTCAGGGAAGCTGTTTGGGAGCACTTACAGCTGCAAACTTGTGTCTTAAATTTCACTTACACTGTAACGAGTTTAGCATTTAAATGTATACTATATTATTCAGGGTTTTCATGTAATGCATATTATACATGCCAACTTTGCAGTTTATACTACGGGTCGAAACCTAGACATGGCTTACTGCATGCTGTATATGACAGAAGGAATAGGAAAGTCTTTTCGTGATGACTTGTGGGTTATATTGCATACGTATATGGTATACTGAACTATAATGATTACACAAGATATTCCAAAGATGGTTATAGACATTCCTTAAATCCTGTTTAGCTCTTCGATTATGCGGTGATGACATTATCTACTATGTGTCTCTACGTGTGTTTGTGTGTTACACATGCTTTTGTGATGTAATATGTGCGCTGTATTACTTGTTGACTTTTGCAATGCAAAGTCTACAAAACATATAAGATACCATAATTGTTATATAATGTCATATATTGTATATTCTATGCTGTTCGTTCTATAAAACGAACAAAATGTAAGTTGTGTATGTGTGTATGTAGATACCTATATATATATATATATATATAGATAGATATGATATGATATCCTAAGACCCTAAACCCCAAAACCCCACAACCCCGAAACCCTACAACCCTACAACCCAAGAACCCTAAACCATAAACTTCCTAACCTGAAAAATCCACTTAAAGCCCCTCCCTTAAACCTTCAGCTTAAGCCCCCTTAAAGCCCCACTTAAAGCCCCACTTAAAGCCCCCCTTTAAGCCCAGTTGGAGCTGTCCCAGGCACTGGCTGAGCACATGGCCGGCGGAGCGGCGCCAGCGGAAAGCGTCCCGGATCGTGTCCTCCTCGGTTTAGGGTTTAGGGTTTTGGGGTTTTGGGGTTCAGGGTTCAGGGAGTAGGGTTTTAGGGTTTAGGGTTTAGGGTTTTGGGATTTAGGGTTCAGGGTTTAGGGTTTTAGGGTTTAGGGTTTAGGGTCTATTTAGGTTGAGGGCTTCCAGTGTTCTGGGGTTTGGAGAGTATCTTAGGATTTCTTTGGATTTGTTGAGGGGGTTGAGGGCTCAGGGCCTAGGGATTCTTGGATACTTGGGATTTGAGCTTGCGTGCTGAGGGCTTGCAGCTTCTTTAGGGTTTGAGGGTGTAGGGCTAGGGGTTGCTCAGTGCTTGACGGTCTAGGTTCAGCATCTCTGGAGGGACTTTAGAGGACGGTTATCAAGACTTCATTGTAGGGCTTTATGGGACGTCATTGAATACGCCCAGCTTCGTCCACTTCGGGCGAAAGGAAGTTGTACCAGGCGATGCCGGTAAAGACCTGAGACGAACACCAAGCAGAACAAAGAGATTGCAGCAGGGACGAGGCTTTTGATTTTAGAGACGGGTTTCCTGAACGTTGGAGTTCGGAGATGTTTGGAGTTCAACATTCAAGGTCCCGAGCAAGACCTGTTACCAGCTGAAACCGCGTGGCAATCTGCATGGTCATGCTGACCACGGCGAGAAGAAAGGTCTGGAGGGAGCCCAACGGACCCAGCGCACCTCAGCTCAACCCCGGAAACTCATCGACGTGGCTTTCTATCACATTCTGCTTTCTGCTGTGGCGCCCGTTCCGATGAACAGGAAGAGGTCCCAAGTGGATTCCCCGAAGCGGTAGTACTCCTGTGTCTGGACCTCAGCTGCACTCGGTTCTACCAGCATCTTCGCCTTCGCGTTGCCAAGGCGCTTGATCGATTGGGCAAGAAGGGGACGCAGGACTATACAGGAATTTTAGTTGGAAATGCAGATGGATTTGATGTAGAAATATAAACATCATTAAATTAAATCAATTAAAAAACAATACGTTCGATCTTGCCATTACTTCCCCCGACCAGCCCTAGCAACTCCGACGTCCTTGTCTTACAAGTCCGACTCTGCGACTCAGATTCTCATCTTTCAGTGAGTTTTTTCGAGCTCGAGCTGAGGGGTTGTTAGGCTTTAGGGTTTAGGGGTTGGGGTTTAGGGTTTCAGGGGTACAGCAGACAGGGAGGAACTGACAGAAACTCACAAGGCCAAGGGGACATCCAGCACCTTCTCATCCACGTAGTCCACGAAGGGCACGGTGATTCGCTTCCGAAGTTGCTTGTCCGAGGGAGGGATAGACAGCTGTGGATCGTACCTTGACACAGGGTTTAGGGTTTAGGGTTCAGGGTTTAGGGTTTAGGGTTTAGGGTTGAGCGTTGTCTCCCTGTCTCGTTCGGATGTACTTCGGGCATCACTGCTTTCGCTCTCGTGAGCCTTCCATATGCTTAGCGGATGAAGCCGAGGGGTTTAGGGTTTAGGGTT